GATGTATTTTCATATTACAAATTGAACATAATTAAAGCATAGTGATTAATTACAAAAACAATATGTACTTATAATTTATGAAGTGTCATTTTACCTCCAATACTGCTGCTTTCAACACAGTAGCTGCTTTTAACAGAGAACCGCTACTTTAGCTTATGGCTGCATCGATCCATTCTCTGACTCTCCATAACACCTTCTCCATGTGTTGATTCTCTCTCTCTCTCACAAGGACATTTATGGTGGCATTTAGAGTTTATCCTGGATAGTCCAGGAAATACTACCCATCTCAAAATCCTTAAAATCATCCCATCTTCACATATCCCTTTTCCAAATAGAGACACATTTATAATTTCCAGAGAATAAAACACATGGCCATCAAATGTATTCTGACTCATAGGGACCCTGTAAGACAGTAGAATTTCCACGTAGGGATTCTCAGGCTATAATCTGTACAGAAGCCAATCGACAAATCTTTCTCCCACTGGTTGGTTACTGAGTTTAAACCACTGACTTTTGGGTTATTGGCTGAACATTTGCCCCCAGGCCCCCAGGACTTGTTCCAGATTAGTGTCTGAAGTCAATTTGAATCAGATCTATTGGGGGGCCATTACAAGCCTACCCTGAAAATCATTTTCCTCTTTTGAAATTACACATTGCATGGCTCCCTCTACTTAGATTAGGAAGCATGGTCTGTGACTAACATTGCAGTATTTCATGCAACTTTGTAAAGAGATGGTGAAAGGGAGGAAATGCAAAGTCCAGAAGGGAGAGAGAGAAAGCAGGTGAGCGAGAGAAGAAGCAGGCAAATGATGGCACGTGTCCTCGCGTCCAAGTGCAGGTCTTGTAAGAACAGAAATTGATTCTTCACAATCCTGGAAGGTGGAAATCCAGATCTGTGTTTTCCCCTCCTGCTGGCTCTGAGAAACAAAAGTTTCAGTGGCTCTGCCGGTTTGTGGGGGCTCCAGGATCTCCTTGGCTCACAGCGGCTCTGTTATACACCACCCTGCCTCTGTCTCTCGGTCGCTGCATACCTTCACTTTCTCGTTCAGAGTTAGGGCTCTTGACTAAGTTTTAAATTGTTGTGAGGGACAGACTGGCTCTTCCATCTCAGAAGTTTGCCAAACCCTGCTCTAGAAGATTACCTAGATCTAGTTCGGTTGCTATCAATCCAAAAAGAAATTCCATCCACTCTGCAGTTACTCCTTATCCCCCTTTCCCTCAGCCACTGCAAACCATCAGCCTTTGGTCTCTATAAATTTACCTACTTGGGGTATTTCATATAAATGGAAGTGTATGTGATCTTTGCGTAGGGCTTCTTTCAC